TTCCTGGCTATAAAGTATAAACACCCAGATTTTCTCCTCCTCTCGGCTAATCCCGGCGAGATTCACGGGGATTAAGCCCGTCTGTCCTTGACTCGTCTCGTCTGGTAGCACAACTTTCTTGTGTGCCCCGGCCCGGCCATTTGAGGTGTCAGGTGTGTACCAGCTGCGTTGCTGATACAGTGATACCAGCTGGACATCTCGGATTTGTCGTTGAAACTGGTGCCTGAAACTGTGATTATTCTGATCACACATAGTTCGCGGTAATGCCCGGCCTGCTGTCACTAATAAATGTGTTTCAGTCGAGTCCGTCGTCCGTCGTCGCCTCTCAGGCGACAGTACAGCACAGTGACAGTAGGCGACGAGGTCTCGTGACTCTCGTCGGTCCGGTCGTCGCATCCATGGCAGCGCGAGTCCCAAATGTTTGCTATACCGCCGCAGTCGTTGCAGTCGGCGGCCGGCCTCCCACGCCACGGGCTCCGTCGTCTCTCCACCCACCATGGAGAACAACCACCAGGTCATAAACAGAGACACTAACAAGAACTAGTAGTATATAAAACACACAGCAGGGCCCTTTCATCTTGGAAGAACATGTACAAGAGGGTTTTAATCAGTCCCGACCTCGAAAGTGAGGTGACAAGGAATGGCACAAAACGTTGCTGTTTTGGATCGAGTCATCAGTCATGGAGGCAGCAGCTCGCGTCGATCCCGCAAATTGACGCGAGGCAGGAAACAAGTCGAGTCAGTCTCGGTTGGTTGCATCCACGCAAACTCTCAAAGAAAGCCGCCGAACGAAAGCTCTTCTTGATTACCCTTTGGCCTTTGCTTTCAAGTCTTAGAATAAATCAGGAAATATTTCCCGTTGACGCTGGCTTTCATCCTTAACAGTTAACCTAGTTCACGGGTGCTGAATTTTCTTTATCAATAAACTAGTCATATATCTTTCTTAAAATCTGTATTGTTTATAACTGAATTATCAAAGCATATATGTTATGATTTTTTAGTCGAAATACAATAAATCTACGTGTAGAAGCAACTAAGATACTTCATTACCACCCTCTGTCCCAAATTATAGGTCGTTTTGGCTTTTCTAGATACTAGTTTTTGTTATGTACCTAAATATACAATACGTCTAGATACATAATAAAAGTTGAGTCTGAAAAGCCAAAACGACGTATAGATTAGAACAGAGGGAGTAATAAGATGCAACATCATTGCTACTATTATTTAATATGTAAATCATTCAGAAAACATCTATCGTGTTTGCTGAATAAAGGAAATTCAAATTGATGACATGCTCATTTCTCTCCCATGCATGTATATCTGGTCTATTTGGTGGAAGGCATCGTATATGTATACCAAACATACTCATACATATACTTTCTTATTATGTATTACATCTAGTTGTGATAGACTTTAGTAACCATTTACTCTATGCGATTTTCCATCCCTATTATAGTTTTTCCCTTTCCATGGCACCTCCATGTGTGTTGACATATGTTTAGTTGAAACTTTAGTTTGAGCTACATGTTTTTATTTTTTATGAAAACCAATATGCCCATTGCTTCATGCATACACATGTATACAAGGACGTTGTGACAAGCATCGAGCACGTACACTTTGGCTTTAGTTTTCTCTCTGTATATATTGGCAGTGGGAGATGTGTGTTATATATAAGCATGTGTAGAGTACTTTAGGATATATTTTACAAATATAAGAGGTAGGCAATGCATATTTGGGGTTCTTCTAGGCTATTTTTAAGAACCATTGTGCTAGAGAGAAACAAATTGTTGGATTGTAGCAATTATTGGCATATGGATTGTTACAATCTACAGCCAATTTGCTTCATTTGGCAGATTGTAACCTACAAAGTGCAAATATGCAAAGTAAAACAACAAAGGTCTAATAATTGCCGGATCCCGCTAATTTAGAAATGACAAAATGAGTACATAATTTAGATGTTGATTTAGGATTTACCTTTAAGTTAATTTTCAATGGTTAGATACAAGCCATGTCTGCTTTAGGTTATTTTTTTATGATGGAAGACACTCTAGATCCAAATTTAGAAAACTAGTTTAATTTTAATAATAACGTATGTGTGTAATTTAAATGCAAGTTAGAGCGTTACTAAGTTAATGACAGTGGCACTAACAATAGTGGTGAATGAAGTGGGATAGTTGTGAGACATAGAAGGGTGTGTAATTTAAATGCAAGTTAGAGCGTTACTAAGTTAATGACAGTGGCACTAACAATAGTGGCGAATGAAGTGGGATAGTTGTGAGACATAGAAGGGTCGTCCTCTAAGGGAACAAGGTGTGTTTAGTAGGGATCTAGATTCTCCTAAAAATGTGCAAATCCAAATTCTCTCTATAAACGTTTCTCTGTTGAAATAGAATTACTTGACAAGAATAAATGAAACCATTTGGCTATTGATCAAGATTCTTCTTGAATTGGACTATAATCACTGCAAAACATCTATTTGGGTAATTCTCATTCCTAGTTCAAAACAGAGAAACATTTATACAATGGGTGTTCTACAAAGAATCGCTTCGCTAAATAGAGTGTTTGACAGAGATTCATGAGGTTCACTTAAGGATATGAAACATTTTTAACGTTTAACCGCACCCTTAATATCCTCTAACCAAACACAAACTAGTGACAGATTCGTATGCGCTCATTAAACGTTGAGATGGGACAATCTTATTGCCAAAATTAGGGGCAAAACCTTTCCACCTTTGTCTATCTCCCTTTAGAACACGAAAAACTTTCATGTTTCGTGTGTTTTTACTGTAAAAATGAACTAATTCCTATAAAATTTCTCTATATTTTTGTGCACCTAAACATAACCCAAGAGTCGGTTCTCAAATATAAATCGGTTCCTCTTTCTCCTCAGCTTATGTCGACTTGTCCAGTGATGTTGGGTGGTTTGAGGATGCCATGTCAGTTAGTCTGTGCATCGGGCAGTGGAGAAGGCCCACGCCAACGCCACCGTTGGACTCTGGAAAAATGGTTCCGGGTGTCTAAATGCACATCAGATCCTGCCACGTAGGACAGTAATGCTTTCAGAACCACATGCTGTGGCAGAAAATTCTTGTTGATGTACAGCTACAGGACACTGCCGAAGACCTGGACGACTGGGTGAACGAATGAAGAGCCTTAAAAAAACACGACTTGGTCTACGGTCAAGACCATCGATGAAAACGAACGGAAAATAGCTTTATTGTTTTTGTTTTTATATTTTTTTATGAAAACAGGAGCGGGAGCTGGACAGCCAGGAGCGAAAACGGTAGCGAGATAAACGGTAATACGAAAACAGGTAAATACGATCGAAAAATAGACGGAAACAAACGGTAAATGGAAACTTAAGTCGGGATTGCACGACGCATATGATAGCTCAAATATAGAAACCAAAGTGCATTAGTAAATAGATAATACACCTAATAAACCACACATAAATATTATTACATTGTTTCTCTGCTGTCATAAGTACTTCAGGCAGCAAGCTGATCACTGAATCACGGCAAACCAATTCTTCTGATTGATTGATGTTTCCGCTATGGTCAAATAACGAATACTGTCAGACAATACTTAGTAGCAAAATTTGTTCAGGTCGTGCCTATACCGAACCAGTTACTTGAATGCTTGAAAGTTCAGATTAATAATAATCGATATGAAAACACATAATCAAATGCAGAGCAGTCTCCAATCAATAACTTTCTAACAACAATTTGTACAAATTAGCAGTTGGACACTGCATGGCAGGCTGCAGTGCAAACTACGCTAGGCCTACGATGGTTATGGTGTGCGTGAGCACATCGACGCTCGTGAAGAAGCGATTCAGCATTGCCATGAGCACGTCGGTGGTGAGCAAGCTGTCGGAGCCGGCGCAGTGTGCGCGGCCGGCGGCGAGCTCCACGCCGAGCGCGGTGGCCACCTGCTCCAGCCACCACGATCTACTCGTCCTCCAGCCCGCGACATAAGCCGGTCCGAGGGCACGGCTGTTAGCGTCTGGCACCGGAGGATTGGAGGAAGAGAAAGAGGACGACGGGCGGAGGAGGCCGCGTCGCCCTGTGCCCAGCGTGCGGTGCGGGTGCGGTGTTGTGTCTTGGGTCAAGTTGGGCTAACTCTATGGATAGACTAAGTTCTTAGCAGGCCTATTCCGGATTTAATAAAAACGGGATGCAAAATAGGATATCCCGGTCGAAAACGGGATACCACAAATACGGATGGATAAACGATCTGTCGTTTTTGGTCCCGGTTCCGTTTCACTCTGTCTCATTTTCGGTTCCATTTCCGTTTATTCCGAAAAAACGAAAACATTAGGAAAAAAACGGTATACGGTTGCGGACGAACCAGATTCATCCCGTCCAACAAGACAACTGGTGCTGCGCCCGCGCTCCCACTGCCCGGTCAGGTTCAGGTCAGGTGCCACCCCACCTGACCCACCCGCCTGCCGCAGTGCCGCGTCCCGGCGTTAAAAACGCACACGCGCCCCCGCCCAGTCATTAGTGCGCCGCGGCCGCGCGCTCCCTCCCCTCTTCCCTCCTGCCGCTCGCTTTTCGGGATTTCATTTCGTTTCGTTTCACTCGAGGGCGGGTGGCCGGGCGAGAGAGAGGCCGGCGCGCGTGGGAGCGGGCTGGATTTGCGCGTCCTGTACCGAGCGCCCCATGTGACAGGTCGCTCGCTTGCCCCCGCCGCTCCCTCCCTCTCTCGTCCCGCAAAGCAACCGCAACGCGCCGAGCGGGCAGCGAGCGGGGTCCCCGGCCAGCCAAACCCTCCCCTCCCACCCCAGAAAGCCGAGGCCGCGAGCGCGGCAGGCAGGCAGGCAGCGAGCGGGCTGCGGGCGGAAAAGGCCAGTGCGCACTCGTGCTCGGGCTCCCCGACCAGACTAGACCAGCGCGCTAGCCGCTAGCGCCAGCAAGGCGAGTGGCGAGGCGATGCTCGCCCGCCGATCTACTACTACAGCCACTGCCGCCGCTGGGATCTGGCTGTGATTAATAAGGATGTCGTCGGCGTCGCGGAGCGGGAGGCGGCGGACCGGGAGCGTGGCGCTCGGGGACCTTCTGCGGCGGGAGGCGTCGGCGGAGCGGGCCGCGCTGGGAGGCGACGGCGACGGCGAGCGGGAGCGGCGGCCCTCGGTCGCGGTGGGGCAGGCCTGCCGGGCGAAGAAGGGCGAGGACTTCGCGCTGCTCAAGCCCGCCTGCGACCGGCGCCCCGGCGCGCCGTCCACCTCCTTCTCCGCCTTCGCCGTAAGCGCTCCCCACCCACCTCCCCTCCTCGACCGTCTTCGATTTCCCAATGAATGGTAGTAGTATTACTACTATGCTCCGGGTTCGTTCTGAGAGGGCGCCCCCCGCCGGCGCCGGTGTCTGGTCTCGTTCGTTCTCGCCAGCTGTTCGATGGGCACAACGGGAGCGCCGCCGCGGTGTACGCCAAGGAGCACCTCCTCGGCAACGTGCTCGGCTGCGTCCCGACCGATCTGAGCAGGGACGAGTGGCTCGCCGCGCTCCCGAGGGCGCTCGTCGCGGGGTTCGTCAAGACCGACAAGGATTTCCAAACCAAAGGTAACGGGAATTCCTTCCATTCATGGAAATAAATTGATTGGTGCCTGCCCTCCCTAGCAACTATAGCAAGTACTACCCCGCCGTACTACTAGTTGAGTAGAGTACCAGTACATCTGTTGCCCAACCTGGCATCTCTATGGCCAGGCGTTAGGTGATTGTTTCATTCAAATTTACCGTGTAAATGGTTTGGTGATACACCCTGCAGTAAGATAGCTGAGCCCCGTTTGCCTGCTCCTTGTACATTTTTTCAGCTCATTCTTCGGGGACAACCGTGACTCTTGCCATAATTGATGGCTCCGTTGTAACTGTTGCATCCGTTGGTGATTCACGTTGCGTCCTTGAAGCTGAGGGATCCATCTACTATTTGTCGGCTGACCATCGCTTTGACGCTAATGAAGAGGAGTAAGACCGCTTTCTCATGGTGTACTGTTGTTCTATAGTTGGTTACACGTTTGGCTCTTCTGACTTGTTAGTTTTTTTGATTTGTAGGGTTGGACGTGTAACCGAATGCGGAGGTGAAGTTGGAAGGCTAAATGTCGTCGGTGGTGCTGAGGTTGCTCTTTGCCTTTTCACTCACCCCAAAGTTTTCCATCTAATTTATGCAGTTGGTAGCAAAAAAAAAAAGAGGTTTCTTTATTATTGAAAAACAGCTAACGCGCTTTTATTTTTTTGTCTTTTGGTGAAATATTTAATACTCTTTTTTTTTGTTAAAGTTCCTGAGGCAGGTAACTGTTTTTTAAAGGTGTTTTTTGTGTTCTGAAAAAAGGCTTTGGCAGTTTGCTTCCTGTCAGTGACTGATTTGGTGTATAGCAAGCTATTAGACGTATAGTATTTTCATTGGGTAAGTGGGGCTTTAAGTCGTGCTAGGTGGTAGATTAGCTGGATGGAGCTCTTGGATTGACTGAGAAATTATGCTTGTGCAACTTAGCCACCAACTCTCAATTCTGCTTATTTTTATTATTTTAATCTATGTGACTGATGTATCAAACTGTATGTGAGTACCGGCTTGAACATTTTAATACCTGTTGTATGTTGGACATCTTCCATAGGTTTTCCTTTAGAGTCCTATCTTTTGGTTTGTAGATGTGATTCACACCCCTTTGATCCTTAATTCCATTTTTTTTATCCATCCAGATTGGTCCCCTTAGATGTTGGCCAGGTGGTCTATGCCTCTCAAGATCGATTGGTGATCAGGACGTAGGTGAATTTATCATTCCGGTTCCTTATGTGAAGCAAATTAAGGTACACTGCTGGAAAGTCACTTTACACCATTTCTGGAGAAAACTGAATTGTAAACTCTCACTGTAGTGATATCACATTCAAGTACCAGAAGTTCTGCTGTTTGGATATTCTCATTATCATTATCATCTGAATTTTCTGTCGTTATATGAACCTATCCTTGTAAATTAACTGTAATGTTTGAGGCCAAACTGTATTCTATCCTGTACCTGTTACCTGACTATTCAGATGATACATCACTTTGTCTAGACATATATTTTCCAGTATTTATAAACTGACTGCCAGATTTCGTTCTTATTTCCTTTGTCTGCAAAGTTTGCTCATTGTTATACGCAACTATAGTTATGTTTTCTTTTCTGAGAGGATTATTCTGTGATTTTCTCTGAAGTGATTCTTTGTTCATTTTAATCTGATCATATTTTGAAAAATAATGGTGTATTGCAATGCTTGTAGCTGTCTAATGCTGGAGGCCGTCTTAATATTTCAAGCGACGGTGTTTGGGATGCTTTAACTGCGGACATGGCTTTTAGATGTGCACGAGGGCTTCCTCCTGAGGCTGCAGCTGAGCAAATTGTTAAAGTACAATACTAATACCCTTCCCCACCCATTTTAACACAAGGTCTGAAATCCTCAGTTGTACTGTTCCTAACTGGTGTACTGTTTGCAGGAAGCAGTTGAATCAAAAGGATTGAGAGATGATACAACTTGCATTGTCATTGACATAATACCACCAGAGAAACCAAAATGCACTATAGAATCTCCAAAAACGCCAGGAAAAGGCCTTGTACTTCTAAAAAAATTCTTTTTAAGGAAAACGGCATCTGACTCGTTGTCTCTCGCTGATACGGATAATTATCCTGAGCCAGGTTTAGTGGAGGAGGTCTTTGAGGACGGATGCCCATCCCTTTCAAGGAGGTTTGTACCCTTACCTCATCTTGATTATGGATGCATAATAGCTGGTGAATAATTATACTGTAAACTTATGCTTTCCAATTAATAAATGTACTGTCATCTGTGGAGCACTGTTTCAATACTGGTTCAAAGATACTTGTATTTACTACTCCAATAAAGAAGTATGATGTTTCCTGCTGCTAACGTGATTCCACTTGACCTGGAAGTATTTTTTGATAGTGCTGGATACCATACCTTGTCTACAAAAGTTTAATTCCTGATAGAGCATAATGAATGCTGTTGTCAAGTAGGAGTATATAACTCCTTCACAAAATATTAAAAAAAACCAGGGTATTGCATTCTTGGGTTGAATTTCTAAAGGGAAGTCAATAGTATTACAGTTTATGACTATGTGCTATGGTTGTCTTCATTAATTAAGTGCATGCTGTTATGTTAACACTTAATCAACCATGTAGTTCCTCACACAGTAATCAATTACTCTAGTCACAAATAAGTGACATTTTGGACATTGACCTGGTCTCCAAAGCAATACTTTTACTAGTGTCCTTTCTTACAGAAGTATTTATATTCAACATAGTAAAAGGAATACTTTTACTAAACCACATTTCTGAGACAATACTCATCATTTTTTCAAATATCCAAACTCAACACATAGAAAGTAATATTCAATCAAATTTTGAAATGGTTGAATTAGGACAACCCCAAAATGTAACTGTTTTCTGTAGTGTTTTCATTTCATGTCTCGAAATAGAAGTAGATGTTTGTTGGAAGGAACAAGATCTCATCAAGAACTATCGATCATGGCAATATTGTGAGAAAGCCATGACATCATAAAATGTTGAAAACAAGCTTGTTTTGTCAAAATATGGAGTTGGATTCTAGAAGCATTCAAAACTTTAGATCATGATGCTATGTCTGACATTTGGTTTCCGATGAATGCAGGCTTAATTCTGAATATCCTGTCCGAGATATGTTCAAACTTTTTGCATGTGCAATTTGTCAAATTGACTTGGAATCTGGTCAAGGCATATCCATACACGAGGGTTTGTCAAAGCCAGGAAAGTTGCATCCCTGGGATGGCCCTTTCCTTTGTCACAGTTGCCAGGAAAAGAAAGAGGCGATGGAGGGGAAGCGTCACTCACGAGGTATAAACTGTCCTAGTTCTATTTCTATAAACTGCCCTAGTTCTTTTTTCATACAGCTTACCAAATCCATAGTGCATTAGAGACAAATCAAACATTACATTCTTACATCTGCAGATTCCTCGTCAAGAAATAGCGGGTCAAGTGAATAGTGACTGAAGCCAAGAGTCATCTTGAGGGAACCACCTAGCGGTGTGACGAGCTAATTCTTGTTGCAGTTGTCATTCTTGCAGCACTTCCTCTATTACATGGAATTACCATTGGATAGAGACACATGTTGGAAGGTGCCATGCCTAAATATGCTGGAGTTATACGGTTCTGGACTGTAGACCAAATTCAATCGCCTCTAGATACCACACCAGCGTCTTCGGCAGGGCTTGTGGCAGTATCTCATGCAGGTAATGATGGCAAGAGATTGTTAGTGAAGAATGTCGACAGTGGCCAATAGTCATGTAAATTATTCATCCTATAGAGGTGCAAGTGACAAATAGCCACGGTTTTGTAATTCTCAACTAGGATTAGGTATTGAGACCCTGTAATTCGTCTGGGCAGACCTCAAACTAAAGGTCAACCACGTAGCCTGGCCTATTGTAGAATGTATCTTGCCCTACAATCTTCATGATTCAACGCTGTAATTAAATCTAAGATCTTTGCAGACCGCCGTGATTCTTCGGTGGGATAGGCTATTACATGTGACACTTCCCTGACTGCACCGGCACCTTTACCTTAGGGTGTACTGGTTGTTTGATTGTGTGGTCGTCTTTTTATGTCTAGCAGGCGAGAATGTAATCTAAAGCTTTAGTTTTGCATGTGTAGAGTGTGTGTGGGTGTTTGGGTTCTTCCTCCCGTGTTATCTTATCTTAATATAATGAAGTGCAGCTCTTTTGTATTTTTGAGAAAAAAAATATTATATATATACTAAGTGTTAAAAGAAGCCTCACGTTTATTGAGAGGCTATAAATTATGAGATAAACCGAAAAGAAAAAAAAAAGCGCTGATCGATTTTATAATGATCTAACGGTTTAGATTAGCCTAAAGAATCCATAAAAAAAATATGCTATCATCATATAACTAAATTTGAAAAAGGGATTAACTTTGTAGTTTGATTACCATACAGATAGCAAAGTAAAATATCTGAACAAAGAATCTATATCAGATACAAGTAAATAGCTAAAATTGCAACAAGAATGTATTTATGGTAATTCGTGGTAAAGGATCATGCAACCATACTCCGTGTTGCAATCTGCCCGCATACAAATTTAGAAGGCAATATAAAGAAAGAGTCCCCGTGTCATGCAACCTCATTTACTGTGTTTGTACCTACACAAGAACTAGGTCTCCAAGAGCAAGTATAATAGCAGGCTATAAGCTGGCTATACTAGTATAGTGCCCGTGCTAACGCCACGGCTTCATTTCAGAGATGCACATGAAAACAACTAAACAACGACATTTTTTCATAGTTTGTCTTATATAATTGTATACGACTATGTATATGATCCAAAAAACACTCATGCATAACAAGGCATAATAAAGTCATATCTCACATACTATAAATAATTTATGAATTGCTTAAGTAATGGCATGGTCATCATCAATCAAAGCACGTGAGTAGAAAGAAAACAGAGACCGAAAATATTGTCACTGCATACAGAATAGCTGGAAGAAGGGTGCTCACATACGTTTCTAAAAGCCTTAATCAATTAGTGCATCTCCAGTCATTTGAAATGTAAGGAAGCTCCATTTTCTTTCAGCAAGACGGGGAAGAGATAAAAATAAAACAATCTTCATAAAAACAATCTTTCATATATGCAGCAGAGAAGCTTCATGTTGTACATAGCTTTATGTCATCATTTCACCTCCCTCTTACCGACAACATTTTGGTCTGTGCTACCATGATGTCTTCCAAACACTGTGATTGCCAATCAGATAAAAACATTTGTGTATGCATAATTAATGATTCAGCTGATGCTATACAAAATCAACTCCATCAAAGAATTTTGTCAACTTTACTGCGGTCAGGCTTACAGCATCATATCAAAAAATTAATATTGTTTCTGAGTGACATCCAAGATCAGAACTATTAAATACTCCAGTACAAAGTAACAAATATTCTAAAGGATGCATCTCTTGGAACGGAGAACACTGAAAGTAAATAGGCCTCCTCTAATATTTTTCCATTAGTACAAGAGATATGTCACAAGATATTATGTCCTTCCTATTCATCTCATAAAATATTAATTTGCTCACAGTAGTTTCCAGATTGGCTTGCAAAGAGATGCAGCTATCACCAAAATGATCAAAGATCTAAAAAAGTAACTAAATGAATATCACATATTCACGTTACAACTCAAAACAAAATTTTCCGGAGTCAGCTTTTAGATTGATACATGAGGTGTTAGATCCATTCATGGCCTTTTGGCGAATTCTGAAGAAGGATTGGGTCCCTCTGGTTGGCCTCTCTTTCTTAGATGCACATTTGTGTCAGGTGCTTCCATATTTTGAGATTTACCAGGTAGGTGGGTCTACACAGGTCCGTACAAATCAACACGGTTGCTAGGCGCAGAATTAAATCTCTGATTTGCGTTATCATCTAAATATGCTGAAGAGAGCACTGAAATGTCTGAAAGAAGCCTAGCGTTTGGAAACTCTTGCTCGTCTGAGCATTTGTCTGGTTTCGCTCTTACCTGCACATAACACTGATCAAAATCCCGTAAGTTCATAAACAAAATAAAGCAGAAATGTCAGACCTATCACTATCTGTAATAAGATTTAGGCTCTGGCCTCAAGGCAACTTAGTTACTGGCGGGGGCGCCTAAACGCTGAACTTCATGTTTGTACTTTTTTGGGGATATAAAAGTGGGGGAAACCTTTCTTCTAAAAAAAGAAATGTCAGACCTCAGTTGCATGAGAGAAAGAATGATGGAAGAAGGAACCAACCTGTGTCAATCGCTTTGATTCATCTTTTGGCCTGCTGCCCTAAGGTGCTACCATTCACCTTTGGCCTTTTTTGTGGTCAGGATCATGTGCTGGGCCTCTCCTTCTTAGCTGTTGTCTCTCAGATGCCTCCATATAGTGATTTTCCAGGTAGGCATGCAGGTAGGGATATGATGCAAACTTCAGTGCAGTTCCTCGGTGTAGAATTAGATCTCTGAGTTGCAATCTCATCCCAAGATGATGCTGAAGAGAGACCTGAGACATCAGAAACCATCATGGTCTTTGGAGACTCTCCCCTCCTCTGAGCTTGTGTCAAGTTTTGCTCTTACCTGCACATATCACACGGCTAAATTCATTTATCTATATAAATAAGCATAAGACAGATGTCAAACCTCAGTGCATAGGAAAGCATGTGGATGAATTATACATGAACAAAAAAGCAACGGTAAGCTTGTGTGCATAAAAAACATAGGCTTCCCAATTGTGCAGCTATTCTGACATAACAGTTATTTGACGCAAGTGAAGCCAAATCACTTCGAACAAATTGAGTTTGAAAGGCAACACTGCAGCTAACGAAAATGGGGTGTCCACAAACAAATCCCCCAAGTTAATACTTGGAAGTACAATACATAATTCCAATGGACCATGGTCTCTTGTATGCCAACAGGAATAGAATTTGACATCTCCTATTCCATACATACAACACAAATGGTTATGCGCACTTGGCAGAAACTAACATAGTGGCTCATTTGCAAATCGACAAAGATCCATGGGCTGTTGGCATATGTAGTATTAAATTACCACAGTATATATCTTTCTGAAGTCCAACCTAGAATATGAGTTAAATGACAAGTTTATCACCAGAATTGCATAGACCACGCCATTGATCCAATAGAAAGTTGGTCTTTAGCCCACCAGTCGACATTGCACATGCCTAGGGATCAGGAACAAAAACTAAGAGGTGAAATAACATTGACAAAGCAATATATATTGAGGTCTGACAGAGACAAAAAGAGGTGCTCGATAAATCTCTGCATAGAAGAGCACTAAAAAGCGCATATGTCATGAAGAACGGAAGCCTGGGCATATCGAGAAGCACATGTTGTATTATCTGTGGTACCTTATTGCTTCAAACCATTACTCAAGTCCTAAAAAAAATTCATTACACGAGTATAGTATAATCATCAAATCAGCTACAAACCTCAGGCTCTGAGTTTCACATTTCGCCGCAGCATTGCGAGCTAGTCCACGCTGATCCTCCACGGTGGTGCTCCTCCTGCTCGAACGGAAACCTCCGTGCGGGAGCCCCAGACCTCTGAGGACAGAGAGAGAGTGACGAACTGACGACCTGATGCGACCTAGTCGTGTCGGTGTCGAGGCCCTGCAGCCACGCTGGAGCGAAGGCCTGCTCGCGCCGGCGTGGGGATGAGGCCTCCTCGCGCCGGCGCGCCTGAGCCCGTCGCCGCTCGGTGCAGGGCCCCCGCCGCTGCGTCTCCCTCGACATACCCGTGGCGGTGTTTCAGGCTTCGTGGCTCCACGCTACATACCCGCGGCCGCATGTGCGGGTATGTCCCTCAGCAGCCCACGCCCGGCGGCCATGGCCGCGGCGGCGGGGGATGCGGCAGCCCGCGTCGGGGAAGAATCCCACGCGCAAGGTGGAATCGGCAGCATCAAAGGAGGCGGCCTGATGTTTCTATTTTTCCACGAAAGAGAGAAAATGGGGGCATGGGGACAGGAATCGAACCCTCGCCGCCCGGGCGCCGTGCGGGTGCGGGTGCGTTTGAAGCCGGCGTGAGAAGCCTGCATCGCACTAGTCCTTGATTTTAACGGTCATGAATTTCTGTCTGTATTTCGAGTGTACGATGGTCGAAGGCTCTCAGCAGCAGGGGTATTTTTCTGAGTAGACTGAGCATAATTTTAATTGATTCATTATAGTAGAGATATTGAGGTAGAAAAGAGAGGAGAGGTGAGAGAATAGAAGCAGACTGTAAACTTACAACCAGTTTAGGCACAAGAACAAACCTTGTGAGAGAGACAAGTGGACCATATATTAATAGTGAAAGCTAATTATTATTTAGGTGGAGTGAGAGAGGGATGTAAGTCGGCTGTATTATTAGTCTTGCTCTAATAGTTTAACGTTTATTTACTTTAAAATTTAGTCTCCAATGTTCTTTTATGAAATGGAGCACTTGATTGCATTTGGTCTCGAGGAAGTGACGCGCGAAGAGACTTCTGTCATCAAGTTGTGGATACCGTGGGTGGCCAACCATATGGAGCATACAGAGCCACGTGGAGAGCGTATAATTTCATCGTTGACATGGTTGAGCTCTCCGGTCCTTTCTCCAATTTGGCGCTCCCTGACATCATTGATCCTCGCCTCTGTTAAGGAAATTCACAGAGACGAACAAGAGGATGCTTGACACAAAACTTAACCAAAAGATGTCCATGGAGCATGCCCTTGAAGTGGTCTCTAGGACCTCCATTGTTTTGATGATCAAACATGTTCTATCACATGGGTAACCTTTGTTGAGGATGTTGTTCTAGTGGAGGGTGTATCTGATGACGAAGAAGATGCCTCAGATACACATGTGACAATTGAAGAATACTAACCGTTTGTACCGCTCCGGTCAAGGCATAAAAGCCGTGTATGATTAAGGGTCCACCTCTAGAGGCATCATCTCTCTGGACAACACATCTAGGAAGGGTGAGGCACTAGCGTCGGACATAGGGTCGGTAAAAATACTAAAATACCGATGGTCAAAGATTACTGACAGACAGTCGGTCACTATTTCTTGTTTCCTCGTCCGAAGGTCGGTCGGTATTTTTATTTTGGTTTTCTAGTGGACGGTCGGTTGGTATATCTTGTTATTAAGGTCCGCCGGTCTGTCGGAACATTGGATTAGGCTTTGAGCGCATGTGGGGAACCCAATTCGCACCTAAATTTCACCGGAGCCCACCTGTCAGAAAGTTTGTGCAGCTCTTACATCCATCTAGGCTTGTGTCGACATAGAATTTTCGTCCCGTGCTGAGGACACACGCAGCAAGCCGGAAGGATCTGCTCGATGGAGATGTAGATCCGCCTAGCTTCAGCACATGGATGGTTGACCCTGTAATTGACAAGCAGAGAAAGTTTATCAGTAATTAAGGGCTCTGAGAGCCGATATGAAAGGAGATCGACTAAACAGTCGATTCCAACATATTCGTGAGAATAAATCGGTTAAAACTCATTGAGTTGTATAAGAAGAATCGGTTATCATTCAAAATAAATGTCGTTATTTGAACAAATATTAATCAATGGCAATACGATATCAACAATGATTGATTTATGCTAAGCCAATGATTACAGGTAACCGAACCTCTTTTCATATAAAGAAACAATTTAACACCATTTAACCGTTTAATAAAGATAAATCTAATAAACATGTTAGACCTCATCTATCGCTATGATCAGTGGGGCATGAGGCAGAATCATGTAGGCCGTAGAAATAACAATAGACTCGACGACCATAACTTATTACTAATATCAGTTGGGCATGAGGCAGAATCATGCAGACCGTAATATAATAATAAGATCATGGGGCTAACACATCTTTCAACCTATCTTTACTTCAACGGTCTCGTGATGCGAACTGTTCGTGAAAAGCACTCGATATCAGCTAAAACAGCCGATTCAGACATAACGCACAGTTAAAGTCATGCCTTATCAGGAATAGATCTACCAAATAACGATCCTCACTCCACGGTGCTAATAGTGGGGTGTGAGGCAGAATCACACAGGCCGTGATAACGGGCTATGGAACGGTTTTCGCTAGCCAATAAATCTACTCAAGACGCAACATGCTTTAACCGTATGCTATGCACGATCAAGATTGATGTAAAACAGCCGATAAAACGTAACTCATCGTTTAATTTGTAGATTAGATTAGTTTCAGATTAACAAACGATGGGCTAAACAAGATATAAGGCCGATCTAGATCAATCCCAATCGGGCAGAGTGATATTGCTGTAATTTAGATAAATAATGAAAGCAATAAGCAACATCGGTAACTTAATGAATCTACCAGAGACTGCCATTCTAAGGTAGAGCCGATAACTTGACCTTGATCTAGTTCATGCAGTGGGGGTCGACCGGATCGATGCAACCATACTTGAACTAGGCAAGAATCGATAACTAACTTATCCCAGAGTCGCAGTGGAGGTCGACCGGATCGATGTAACCGTACGAACAGAGGTATAAGCCATGACGGTACTTACAACAAGCAGTAGAGGCCGACCGGATCGATGCGGCCGTACTTGCTGAAGAACTCGCTGAGATCTACTCTACTCCTACTCCTAAGGGGTGTCCGGAGCCGAAAAAGTAAATAACTTATATATTGGATTGATTGTGTCCTTTACAATAGCCGGGGTTTGATATTTATACCCGGACCCTATGCATGACTCCTGTCTAAGCACGACTCATTATAATTTTTGACCCTAGAGAAAACATTCCTAATTTAAGATAACTTGGACTCTAATCTTTCTCTTTTTTAGAGTCCAACATGTCTCGTCCTAGCGCCGATCATAACCTTTGTCATTATCCGCTGGCGCTATCTGAAGAAAACCGATTCCAGTTTTCTGTTTGAATCAGCTGGTTCTGATATATACGCAATTGATTTCTTAATGACATGATCTTGAGAGCTTTCGAGTCCTTGTGACCCTTCTTCCAAATTTTGGTGTAAACAGCTTGGAAAAACCCTGCTGCATCTTCATCTTTCCCACCCCCGCCGCCACCCGCCCCACAGCGAGCACGCTAGCCTCTGTTAATTAGGATGACTTTACTTCAGATTTAATTAACTTGGGCCTCTGTTAACTCACTTTTGTGTCCATGAATCTATTTTAGCATGGTCAAAATCCGTTCTCAATTTACCCTTTCCACCACTTTATGTGATTTTGAAGTACGCTTTCGCCACTGAATTGAGCTTCTGTATTTGATTGTATGACCCTTTATGGGCTTTACACATGTGGCATGCTGATCTTGCTTTACACATTCTGTGTTTGCTTTCGAAGTACACTTTTACCATATTGAGCTAGAAACTTCAATAAACATGTGTAATATAGCTATGATTCTGTCACATCAGAATGAATGGGAGACTGGAGTCGTATGTAATATAGCTATCCTGATCTTGATTTTGGCTTTCCTACCAATACATGAAAAGTCTGAAACAATAAACTCAAGTATTGAAGGCTTAATTGCTTAAAATAAAACATACAAACAACTAAGGGGTAAGCACTGGACGGTTTTTTGAGGCAAATTGAATCGTGATACTGTGTCATCTCATTCTCTTTGTAAGATGTACATTGGAAGTTGTACTTCGTTTATACCACTCATTCTATCACTTTTTTTCAGAAACTTTTGGATGCTGCTAGCACTTGTCAACAAGAACCTGATCATTGTGCTAATGGATGTGCAACCAAACTGTATGGTTGTGGACTTTGAGCTTTGGCCCAATGTCTGATGGTTTTAGTGGACAACACGTGCTATGTTAAGCTAGGATTAGACTTGCTTTCGATCATCAGCTAAACGCATATACCTTTGAACAAGGACTAGTCCCATGTGAAGTGACATTGTAATCACTTTTGTATAACAAATGCTTATGGATATAATATAATTGTGAGCTATGATCAGCTTATGTGTCATGAGTGTGTATTGTCCAAAATGGGGAATGTTGATTGTACGGTTAATTGATTGTATGGTTAATATTGATTGTATGATTAATATTGATTCTAAGGTTAATGTATAAACAAATGATATTATGTGGTTATTTTTCTGTATGGATAGCGTCGACAGTTGGTCGCTATAAATATATACAGTCACACCATGGTCGGTATAAGTTTACAATTGGAGTCAAACTATGCGTCGGTATATCTACACTATACCGTCCAACGATCAATTGGTATAGGTGGGTCGGTCGCTATAAGTTTATACTGACGCCACTATCAGCGACATAAAGGGTCGGTCAGTACAGATCTATACCGACCAACCGTAGGTCGCTATACCCACTTATACCGACCCTCCGTAGGACGCTATAGATAGGATGTGGTATAGTGAGGACCTTACATGTCCTCCTATACACCTCCTATTCGCTAGCGACCGCCACAACAAGACGTTGATGTGCCCGCCTTGCATGGTGCAGTGTTTGCTGCCGTACCTCCTCAAGCCACTCATAGTTTCAAAAGTCATGCCTTCTTGGACTTACTATTTGAGGTTTCTTAGCCTCTTCGCTAGGTTTTGTCTTCAGTGTTGTTGTTGGCGCATGTTGAGAGCGTATTGTTGGTACTAGACTTGTCTCAGTTAGTCATGCTAGATGTTGTTTGTCCATTGTTAACTTTTCTGAGGTTATTGTTAGTCCAATTTAAAGCTTTTTCTTGATCGACATAATCTTCAGTGCTTAGTTTGTTAAAAACTAGTGTAGCTTCCCATTGCATTTGTCGGCAGCTATCAAAGAATCTGATCGACTTGATCATCAAATTTCCATAGAAGATGACATGAGGTAGGAAGGTCAGTTTGTAGGCCACGACAACAAGCATATATTATCTTAGTATTTGCCCAACAAAAAAAAGCAATAATGGCTTAAAAATCATGGGATCAATCCAAAAAAACATGCTACACCGCTGGATTTCATGATAATCTATCATCTTAGATGAAATCTAATAGTCCATGCCTAATATAACTGTAAGATTATAATAATAAAAAATACCCTACATTGTTGGATTTTATGATGGTATAACAGTTTAGATTAAATCAATGAACCCATGCCATTGTGAGATTAATCCAAAACAGAGAAGAAGAAAAGACCCTAGATCATTGGATTTTATGATGATTTAACACCTTAGATCAATCAAAGAGTCGATGCCTAATACAATTACGGGACTAATCGGAAATATAATTACCTATGTTGTTATATTTTAATCTTTCATGATGTTTTGACGGCTTAGATTAACAAAAAAGTTCATGCCTAATACGATTAATAGAAAATAATTTCAAAAGAATAAACAAATTAATAAAAGTAATAACTTGATTTCCGTACGAGTTGAAAAGAAAAATACCTAAATATAGATTCATATAAAACATATTTTCTAAAGGCAAAAATTTTACTAAAAATTATAAAAAGTTAATGTTTTGATTTTCAAATGAACATAAAGAAAAAAGAGTCTACATAAATTATAATGACTAATATAGCTAAACTAAAAACTAAAATTTGTAGGAAAAAAATAATTTTCATATGTGAAAAAGTACCTAAATAAAAAATAATTTATTAATAAGTAAAACTATTAGTCTACCACATTCATTTTTATTGACATGGACAAATGAGAAACAACCAAACATAATAATGTGTCAATTCTAGCAATCGTTACTCAAATCTCCAAACTTTAATGGCAGTTACCTAGGGGCTTATGTGTGATTGTCATATCATTATATGATGTGTATGCGTGAGAAGCTCATAATAGAGAAATGAACATTATTTGTTTTTTTTAAGAAACTAGTCACAAGCGGAATAAATATGGTCATATTATGATTGATAATGGCATGTTAGAGTGGCATGGGTACGTAGTACACATGAAATCAACAGATCACCAGTGGTACAAGGTGATCCAAAAATTAAATTCTAAAGAGACCAAGGAGCTAAACAATTCTTGAGACTTGGACAACAATTTTCTTTACTGAGAATGAGTAGAAACTGAAACCTACATTGATTTGGCGGCTGTAGAAATTGTATGACCACATGGTAATATATATTGGGAAAAAAAAGAAGATAAGAGAGAGACAGAAATAGCTTTAATCTAAAAAAATTCATTGACAATATATAGCTACATGGAGTCCGTGCGGATGGATGCAACATTGGTGCATGAAGAGGGAATCAATATAATCAAACAAAGAAACACAATTACTACAAAAGGATATTTTCAAGTAAGAAAAACACTAATTCTATAATGAGAAAATGCTAGCTACTACCCGGCCCTATTTGGCTAGTTGTAAATACTATAGTGATATTCCAGGCCGTAGTGATGTGGCTATGTGAAGTTAAGCCGTGCGAGTTCAGCAAAGGTGCTGCTCCTACCGGGATTCTTTGACTGCAGACGATCTGCAGTTCATCGTTATCTATCATCTCTTCCTCTATTTTCCCTTGATGGCCTACTGTTACGTTTGAGTATGAATCTGAGCTTCCGGAGGCTTGACTGTATATATGCAGCAGTTAACAGTGGTATAAAACGACGAAGAGGTCTCCGTGCCTCTTTGCTGAATCGCCAAGCTGCTTCATTCGGAAGGTCAAATTGCACCGAACCCACTTGTGCCTTGTTTAGATTGTCTCAAAATTCTAAGTTTTTTCACTCTCTCTCCATCACATCAATTTTTGGACGCATGCATGGAGAATTAAATGTAGGTAAAAAAAAATTAATTGCACAGTTTGGTTATAAATCACGAGACGAATCTTTTGAGCCTAGTTAGTCCATGATCGGACAAAGTTTGTCAAATACAAACAAAACGTGCTACAGTGTCCGGATTAAAAAATTTGCAATTTAAACAAGGCCTGGGTTTTGTTTTACGGGCGGTCTTGTATGCATGGAAAGCCAAAGCCTACACGACAGTAGGATAGTGTGCCTCCATTCATGCCCAGCTGACTGGCTAGCGCCATGGACTTTGGCACGATGATCGAAGCATTGACCCAGCAAGTCTCTGTCCTACTTGTTGGCTTGTTGCGCCTTCAAGCTGCAAGCTTATTAAGCTATCGAGCTTAATAAACAAGCCCATCGCTAGCGCACGGAGCAGGCCGAGCCACACGGTAAATAGCTAGGCAGCAAAGTTCGTTCCTGTCTAGTCCTAGGCAGCCAATCGAGTGATGGATCAGAAGAAGGTCATGAGGTCTCACTCGTCACCGTGGCGTGGATTGGCGGCGCGACGGCGGTGGTGTCAGGCGGCCGCGCGGCCGACGACCGTTCTTGTGATCGCGGTGACCGTGTTTGCCCCGCTGCTCCTGGCCGTCGTCCTCTTCGGCTTCCGGGTGACGCCCTCGGGCGCCAACAGTACCTGGGTCTCGGCCGGAGTACGCGTCGTCCTCAAAGCCGGTACGTACGTAGGAGTACGTACGTACTCTCCCACGGTGTCATGCATGCATGCACATGCATGGCTCGCTAGCTTACTATTAGCATGCAACCACATGACAAGCAGTTGGTGCTAATCATTTCTATAATCTTATCCCTGCCAACAATAATATACATGTGCACGAAATAATTTAAGGGGAGCACCTGCTTTAATTTTCTGCATGCATTGCATGGCAGTGTCCGACCAAGGCACCGGTCGTGGTCCATTGGCGACGGTGCCGGATCCCAGCGACCGGCTGCTGGGCGGCCTCCTCTCGCCGGACTTCGACGAAAGCTCCTGCCTCAGCCGCTACAGCGCCGCGCTGTACCGCCGGCCGTCACTGCACGCCGTTTCCTCCTACCTCGTCTCCGCTCTACACCGCTACGAGTCGCTGCACCGCCGCTGCGGCCCCGGCACTCCAGCCTACGCGCGCGCCGTCGAGCTCCTGCGCGCGAACGCCTCCTTTGCTACTTCGTCGTCCTCCGCCGCCGCCTCCGGATCATCGTGCAGCTACGCCGTGTGGACCCCGATCGAGGGCCTCGGCAACCGCATCCTCTCCATCACCTCGACCTTCCTCTACGCGCTGCTCACCGACCGCGTCCTGCTCCTCCACAGCAGCGGCGACGACCTCCACGGCCTCTTCTGCGAGCCGTTCCCGGGCTCGACGTGGATCCTGCCGGCGGCGGACAAGGACAACAAGGACGACTTCCCTATCCGCGGCATCGAGAAGCTCACCGACTGGTGGCACCACGACAGCCTGGGCTCCGTGCTGCGGCGCGGCGAGGATCCCGGCGTGGCGCCGTGGCTGTACGTGCACCTGCGGCACGACTACACCAAGGACAACCGCGACCAGCAGTTCTTCTGCGACGACATGCAGGCCAAGCTGGGGACCGTGCCGTGGCTCGTGTTCCGGTCGGACAACTACTTCGTGCCGGGCTTGTTCCTGATGCCACGGCACGAGGCGGAGCTGGGGCGCATGTTCCCGCGCCGCGACGTTGTGTTCCACCACCTCGGCCGCTACCTGTTCCACCCGAGCAACACGGTGTGGGGCATGGTGACCCGGTACCACGACTCCTACTTCGCCAAGGCGGACGAGCGCGTGGGCATCCAGGTGCGCAGGTTCTACTGGGCGCCCATCTCCACCGACGACCTCTTCGGCCAGATCCTCAACTGCACGCAGCGCGAGGACATCCTGCCCGGTGCTGCCGGCGGCGTTCCCGCGACGGCCAAAGGCGGCAGCACCGCCGGAGGCCAGCCTGGGAAACAGAAGGCCGTGCTCGTCGTGTCCCTGCACGGCGAGTACTCCGAGAAGCTCAGGGACCTGTACCACGAGCACGGAGCGGCGGGCGGGGAGGCGGTGAGCGTGTACCAGCCCACGCACCTGGGCTCGCAGCGCTCCGGCGAGCAGCAGCACAACCAGAAGGCGCTGGCGGAGATGGTGCTGCTCAGCTTCTCGGACGCGGTGGTCACCTCCGCCGTCTCGACGTTTGGGTACGTCGGGCAGGGGCTCGCGGGGCTGAGACCTTGGGTGCTTACGAGCCCCGTGGACAAGAAGGCGCCCGCCGACACGCCGTGCCGGCGCGCCGCTACCATCGAGCCGTGCTTCCATGCGCCGCTGGACTACGATTGCCGGGCCAAAGCAAAAGGTGACGCCGGCAGGAGGGTGCGGCACATCCGACACTGCGACGACTTCCCGCGGGGTGTGCAGTTGGTGGAATGATGAACTGCTGTCACATCGGCGGTTAGGAAGCCACCAGGCGCCACCAGTTTCTCGTTATATTATGATTAATTGTGAGAATAAATACAGCATTCAATCTAAGAGAGGTTACTGTAAAAAAACAATTAAGTCAGCTGACCCACGCAAATGGCGTGGGAAGCTACATTTTTCTACTATACCATTTGTATTTTTACACTAAAAATACTTTTTGTCAATAGTTTTGTTTCTTTAATTTGTCTCATTATATGGGTTCTTACTCCATGCCTTTCTGTTATACTTATAGGCACAAACTTCTAGCTATTGCCGATCAAGACCTTGGCTTAAACCTATTATCGTCTCTCTTGTGTCTTCCTTTTTTCCCACCCCAATCACATGGTTATGCGATTTATGTTGATGCCGCGCGGCGGCCAAATGAAGGTAGTATTTATTTTCGTTTTGGTGTGCTCCGGTACTTAAGAAAATCACGGCCTAAGTCACTCAGAATTTGTTCAATTTCTTAGCCTTTTTCTAAATTAAAATTTTAGAACATTTTGTACATTCGATTGCGGATTCATAATTGCCTTTTTGATCTAAAACATAGTTTTTTTCTGATAATATCTAAAACATAGTTTTTTTTGGTGATAAGATCTAAAAACATAGTTGGATCCATCACAATGCTACTCATGCCTATTGGAGCACCATTATTGCCTCATCAAGCAGCCACTGACCAACCTTTCATCGTGCCAACAACCATCGATGTCTCAAGTCTTCTAAAAGAAATCATGAGCCATCACTGGTGATTTGATATTAGGTCTGCCCATACCACTCCATCGCATTGTTTTTAGACATGACATGACCACATTTGTTTCCACTTGTGATATCTTCTTGTGAAGAAAAAAAATGGACGGTACTTGTTGCATTGTCCTCAAACTTTCAAACATTTCACACATGTGCACTAGGAATCAATGGAGCAATATCACATAAAACATCAAATGTTGGTACGATTTTTTTGATTTGGTCAAAATGCTGGCCGTCGAAGCCTATTACTCTTCCAGGTCACTTCCAAATTTAAATCTAGACCGTTGAAATCAACATGTTCCATTTGGTTGTTTCCCCTTTATAAACGTCAGTATGCAAAACTTTCTAGCTAAAACAACGGGTAAAGAGCAACTAGACAAGAATACATGTTGGGATGGCAAGGTGTAGAGCATCGGAAATGAAGGAGGGTGGTGGGAGTGGGAGTGTCCAATCTTCTGTTAGGTGAAGGTAAGTCATGATTGGTAGGAAATTTGACACACATGATCTAACTTCAGATGCAAAGACCCGAACCCTACAACCGCAACACCACTTCTCTAATTAGCAATCGTGCACTGCCAGGTTGACCTCGCCACGATAGCTAATCCTTGCCTACGAATCAAGAACAAAGGAAGAACAAAGGAAGCACACAATCTAGAAATATTGCTAATTAATATAGATGAAACTTATAAGTTGGGGTCTCAGACCGATGGACGACGAAACTATTTGATAACAGATTAATCTAAGCAAAATTCAAATTCCAATTTGGATGACGACCACTGAATATATAGTCTAAGTGGTGTCCAAGGACCTCTTAATGCGTCCCTAACGAACTGCAACATGATACGCAACCCAACAGCTCGAAAGACAGTGACATAACACCATGACAGATTTTGGACGCCAACTTGTTTGACGATTTCTGTTAACTCTAAAGGGATTTTTTATGTGGGATGAGTGGCGTTGGAAAGCTTAACTCCTAGCTTTATGTGCATTTGTATAATGTCGAACTCGTAGTCCGTATACAATCTAAGCATTCATTTTAGTGTGATCCGCTCCTAGAGTCTGATCCAAGATGGACTAAATCTTGATATGGATTGGACCTCCATCTTACTTGGAGTTCAAGAGTTATCTTCACATGCGAAAGATCAGGTACTCCTATTCCAGTAGATGGGGTGGAGGTGTGGCATGGGGATTTGAAGTGCTTCGAAGGTTTCTCATGGATGTGCCAAAACATTAGTGTCATTCTTGAATAGATCTTGGGGATGCGTACATGCAATCCTTCTCATAGATGTTCTATGTAGTTTTATTGTTTTTCAATTACCATTGCAAAACCCCAGTTAAAACAAAGCTACGGTGGTCCAGGAACATTTCCAAAATATTATGAAGCGTGCGTCGCAAAGACAAATTGATTTAAATTGGGAGCGGTTGCAAATTTCGCCACATAATCTTGACATGCTTGCCGACAATTTCACAGAATCCGAGATCAAGTGTGCCATAAATCAGATGCCTTCTGATAAGGCGCCGGGTCCGGATAGCTTCACAGGCCTTTTTTTTCAAAGAATGTTGGGATATTATAAAAATGGAGGTCATGAACGCGGCCAATACTTTCCACCGGCTGCGCACCTCCAATTTAGCTATTCTCAACACAGCGTACGTTAGGCTCATTCCAAAAAAGGATGGGGCTGAGTCGATCTCTGATTTCGGGCCCATAAGCTTAATCCACTCCTTCGCGAAGATCATTGCAAAGGTTATGGCACTGCGCCTGGCACCCCACATGAGCAGTTTGATCTCCAAGAGCCAGAGCGCCTTCATTAAAAAAAGAAGCATCCATGATAACTTCATGTCTGTTCAATGTATTGTGCGTCGATTCCATAGATCCAAGACACCTGCCCTGTTTTTCAAGCTCGACATCTCAAAGGCTTTTGACTTAGTCCGTTGGGAGTACTTACTCACCATGATGAGCAGGCTTGGCTTCCCTCGAAAATGGAGAGAGTGGGTGGCTACCCTGTTGTCAACGTCATCTTCTCGAATCCTGCTAAATGGTGTCCCTAATGCACCAATCAAACACGGCAGGGGATTGCGCCAGGACGATCCTCTTTCACCATTGCTATTTGTCATTGCCATCGACCCGCTGCAAAAAAATCCTAGACCTTGCGACAAAAGAACGACATTTGACAAAATTCAGGGGAAAATAGTCTGTCATGTGGATATCCATATATGCGGATGATACGACAATCTTCGTCAAGCCATATAAGAAGGATGTCACTGCGCTCGCTAATATTCTCGCTGAAAGGATCAAGATGCTCAAGAGGGGGTGAATTGGGCTAATTCTAAAATTCTTTGCAATAATGAAACCCTGCACTTAGCCCACTTCACTCCTTGTGCCTAGAATGTGATTCAATTGATCTATAAAACAAAAGTTTTACACCCTAGGTTTCAATCCTATGCTAGCATGGCAATTCTAATAATGTAAAGACAAGAAATGAATTGCTCAAATGTAAATGCTTAAAGTAAAGAGAGGAGAAAGAACGCGGCGATGTTTTGCTGAGGTATCGGAGAGTCGCCACTCCCCACTAGTCCTCGTTGGAGCACCCGCGTAAGGGTGTAGCTCCCCCTTGATCCGTGCAAGGTTCAAGTGCTCTCTACAGGCTAATTCTTCGACACTCCGTCGCAGTGAATTACCCACAACCGCTCACAACTTGAGTTGGGTCATCCACAAGCTCCGCCGGATGATCACCAAACTCCCGATCACCACCAAGTCATCTAGGTGATGGCGATCACCAAGAGTAACAAGCACGAACTCTTACTTGACCACAACAAGCCTAATGAGAAGGGTGGATGCACACTTGCTACTCTCCTTGCACTAATGAGGCTTTAATCTTGGATTCTCAAATCTCAATCATCTCACTAGGCTCTTGCTCTCCTAAGCACTCTCAAGGGTGTTTCTCAGCTGAATAAATGGGTAAGAGACCTCCCTTGGATAAATAGAGGAAGTATGTATATCCCCTCATTCAAAACGAACCGTTAGGAGGTTGCGTCAGCACTCTGTGGGGTGACCGGACGCTCCGATCAGTTATCCCCGCAATAGAGCCATTAAGTTGTGACCGGACTCTGACCTGCGCTCGGTCACGAAAATTGCTCTCTGGAACCTTACTTCGTTGTTCAGCGTCTGGTCAGTTACTGGATCCTGACCGGACGCGTCCGATCAGGAATTTCCCTCTCTGGAACCTCTCTGGAGTTGACCGGACTCTGGCACTCAGCGTCCGGTCACTTTTCACTCAGCGTCCGGTCGCAACCATACGGCTCCAGTTGATCAAATGAACTGACCGGACTCACCCTTCAGCGTCCGGTCACAACCAGACCAGCGTCCGGTCAGTCATTTGACCCTCCATTCACTTCGAACTCGAAATCATATGTGAATGAAGTTTGCCCTAATTGATCTTAGGGCTACTCCTGAGCTACCTAGTGCTAGATTTGACAAGTGTGCACCACACCTAACCCACTAGACTCACCTAGGTCAAGCTACTAGTCCATACCCCCCTTAATAGTACGGCCAAAGGAAAAACAAAGTTCTAAACTACTCTAAGCGTCTCTTCAACACCAAACGACACTTAGAACTAGTCCATCCTTAACATTGTCGTCCATCTGTTGAAAACCGAAACGATTTCCATCGTAGGGGCATGACAACCATGATTGCCCAATCAATTGCCATTACCATAACCTAACTTAATTTCCCAATCAATTGACATGACATATATAAAGATCAAAGTAGAGAGCACACATGTCACATATCACATAAATATCATAATCACACGTATGTAGTTCAATGCATGAAAGTAAACATGAATGCATAATAATGTATTACACATAAAAAGCCAAAAGTAATAAATAAGCTCCCCTAGATATAGCGCTACCCCTAGATCTAACATACTCGATCCCTCTCCACCTTTGGCATCAAGCACCAAAACCTAAGGGTCGGTCGGCGGGGCAGGAGCAGACGAGTCGGGCGCTGAGGTGCGGTGAGCGATCTAAAACTATGTAGCATCATCCTCTGATCCAGAGCTCTGAGCTGTCTGACCCTCTGTCACTGGAAGTAAAGTTGAAGCGGTCTGGGTCTGCTCTCGGACTGGCGTGGCCTGTGACTCGGCAGGTATCATTGTAGCAGCTGGCTCTTATGATGCAACAGATGAAGGGAGCGTCTCTGTAGTCCTATTAACTAGAGCAACTGT